CAGCCCGTGGATGAGGATGCGGGGCACCAGCGGCCTCTGCAGCGCGGGCGGCGGCGCGCTCGGGCCGCGGTACAGGTAGAGCGCGGCGCCGGGGTCCAGGTTGGACACGAGGCTCTGCGGGTAGAAGTACGGCGACGGGAACATCCGCTGCAGCGCCGAGTAGTTGCCGGCCTCCGCCAGCAGCTCCAGCCCCACGGCCGTCTGCCGCTTCCACTTCGTCCTGGGGACCGAAAGGCACGTGGTCAGCGGGGTCGGCGCGCGGCGCTCGGGCTCGCACCCCCTGGCCTGCACGGGGCTCGGGCACGCGCCCCGGCCCTCGCGAGCCTGCGCGGCCCCGCGCGGCCCAGTCCCCACTGCACAGAGCCCCAGCCAATGAGTGGAAGCTCCAGAGAACAAGTTCGAGTCCCGATCTCGGGCCAAGGAAGACAAAGATTAAAACCCGGGTGGCCTATGTGACCATCGCCCCACGTAGCAGATAAGAGTGGGCAGAGCTCAGCGCCTGCTCCAGGCCTGGCCGCCCGGCCCCGAAGCCCACGGGCCACTCTCTCCCCGGGTTGCTGCGGAGGCCCCTGGAGACAACGGTTGGGGCTCCCTCACACAGACCCCAAAGGACCTGTGACTGCGGGGTCACCGAGGGGCAACCCCACGCCTCGGCTCTACCGAAGGCGGGGTTGCGACTGGAGACAGCGCCAGCAGAATGAGCTCCGGCCCCAAGGCCCGGGGCTGCCCCGCGGGCGAACTTCAGACACCCGGGCTCGGGGGCCTGGGGCGGGCGGGGCTTAGCGTTAGCAGGCCTCAGCTCGGCTCACCTGCAGGCCTGGCTGGCAGGCCCGCCCCACCGAGGGGGGCTCGGCCACAGCACCCCCATTTCCCTCCCTGAATTATTCATCGCCATCATAATTGTGTAATTACTGAAACGGGCCTTAATTATTGATGCCTGGAGCAGTAATCGGTATCTATTATTAATAGGGCTGTGGGCTCCGTGGCTGGTTTATGGAGAGCGCCGGTCCTGTCCCGCTCGGGGCGGGTGTGAGTGTGTCACCACGCGGGCCGGCGGGTGTGCGTGTGTCACCACGCGGGCGGGGGCCTGTGCGTGTGTCACCACGCGAGCCGGGCGCCCGCTCCCCCCATCCCCGCGTGTCTAAATCCCAGGAGCACGGGCGGGGACCGGGACACGGGTTCAGAGCGGCAGCCGGCCCCTGGCCCGGCCGGCGGACCCTGCGCGGTCCGGCCGCCTCCCTCCGGGCCCGGGGCTTCGTTCCGGAGGATTCCCCGAGGCGGCCCCGTCCCCGCCCGCGCGGCCTCACCTGCGGTTCTGGTACCAGGTCTTGACCTGCGTGTCGGTGAGGTTGAGCGAGGCGGCCAGCTCCATGCGGTCCTGCACGCTCAGGTACTTCTGCCGCTCGAAGCTGCGCTCCAGCTGCGCCAGCTGATGGTCGGTGAAGGCCGTGCGCGCCTTGCGCGGCTTCTTGAGGCGCACGGGCGGGCTGTCCCGGGAGCTGGAGATCTCGCGGTCGCCCTCCTCCTTCACTGCGGGGACAGGCGGCGCTCAGGGCCCGGCCGGCCG